CGGAAAGTAAGGAGATCCGGAATCGTCCGGATCTCGGGGGGTAGTTCGTTCCAGAGGGTGGGGGCACCCACAGAGAAGGCCCTCCCCCTGGGGGTCGCCAGCCGACATTGTTTGGCCGACGGCACCCTGAGGAGACCCACTCTGTGGGAGCGTACCAGTCTATGGGAGGAAATCTGTGGCAGAAGGCGGTCTCGGAGGTCCGATGCCATGGAGCGTTTTAAAGGTGGTAACTAACACCTTAAAGCGCACTCGGAAGACCACTGGTAACCAGTGCAGCTCATCTGTCCATTTCTACCAGTGCAGCTCATCTGTCCATTTCTACACATTCTAAAATTTTCTTAATTATGACCTCTTCAGACGGTAGATTTTCATTTTTCCAGTACTGGGCAAATGCTATTCTCGCTGCTTGTCAATATATGCAATATTAAATACTCAATTCTCCTTCTCATACTTGGCTCCTAGTATCCCTAACAAAAACAATTCTGGTTTAAATTCTGTCTGTATTTTAGTCATCTTTTCCAACCATATATGAATATTAAGCCAGAATTTCTTCGCTCTAGGGCAGACATGTCAAACACAAGGCCCGGGGGCCGGATGCGGCCCGTGAAGTGGTTTCATGTGGCCCGCGAAGCCATCCTGGAAACAGTGAGGGAACGGCCCCCACTGCCTTGGCCCTGGCCCAGGCCAGCCGGGAGCCAATGTACAATTTTGTGGTTGCCATCTATGCTGAAACGCATTCAGTCTTAGCTCCACAAGGCCGTCTGGAAACAGCAAGGAACCAGGAGAACGTTGAGCAGCAGCCTTGAGGAAGTGGGGCTGGGCTTGGTGCCACGGGTGCTCAAGGGCCAGGCTGGGCATTTGATCTCTGCTGCCCAGGGCTCCGGGCAGCCCGCACCACCATCCAGCCCCCTCCGCATGGCCTGAGAAGAACAGTGAGGCTCCTCCAGTGGACCATGCCTTGGCACTTGCCCTGGTCCCACTCCCTTCTGCCAGAGACCCTCAAATCTGTCCCACTCCTGCCCAGGCCCCCACAGGCACCCTTGACGCGACTGATGTAGAGCTGGCCACGCCCACCCAGTAGGCCACACCCACTCCATCCACACCCACCCAGTAGGCCGCACCCACCCGGCCCCCTGAAGGCAACCACAATGCTGATGCGGCCCTCAATGAAATTGAGTTTGACACCCCTGCTCTAGGGCATACCCACCAGATATGGCAATAGGTACCTGGCTTTTGTTTACATTTCCAACAATTATTCGAAGTGTTTTTAAACATTTTTGCTAGTCTTGTTGGTGTCATGGTCATCTGAAGGCATTTCTGTGGTCAAGGGGCCAGCATGACGATACGCCGCGGCACATGAAACGCTGTTACCTTCCCATCGATGTGGTACCTATTTATCTACTTGCGTTTGCATGCTTTTGGACTGCTAGGAGGGCTGGGGCAGGCAACCTTGGCTCTTTTATGACTCGTGGACTTCAACTCCCAGAATTCCTGAGCCAGCATGGCTCAGCTTGGAAACTCTTTCTTTCCCCTCAGCATGGCTGGCTCAGGAATTCTGGGAGTTGAAGTCCACGAGTCATAAAAGAGCCAAGGTTGCCTACCCCTGGGCTGGGACAAGGAAGGAAGCTCGCCCCGTTGCACAGTGCTCGGGGGTTCTCGGACCTGGGCTACCAGCTTTCCAAGCTGACAAGCTCAGCCTCTTTCACCACTGAGCCATCTTGCCCCCTTTTTTATACACACACACAATGCTAATCATGTAACTTGCAAGCCCAAAAGTAACTTACTTCTTCGAGTAAAAGGCATCCTCTTCTTTCACTTCATTAATAACTACTTTGGGTGGCTCTTCCTCTTCTTCACCAGCCCCTGCTGGGAAAAGCATTTCAGATCAGAATTACATTTCACGCGCCAGAAACTTTATATTGTTCATGAAATCGTACCGCTGTGCGTAAAAATCTTGTTGCACGAAGGACCCGAATGAAAATTTAGGGAACTATCTCAGCGGCGTTCAAAACATTTCGTATTTGGAAGGTTTAAAAAAAGCTCTTCCAGTCTGAATGCCAGCTCTCTGTTACGTTTCAGTCGTTAACAAGCTCACTTCCAGCCATTCCTACTTACTCCTGGTAAATTGGAACATCCCCATTTTTTGAATTTGAAATGGCTACACACCTCTTCGATGCAACTGCTCCGTTCCCAAGGAGAAAAGGGACAGAAATGAATAGTTCCTCTCTCCCCATTCTTAGTCTTTGTAAGTCCTTGAAATCCAGAAACAAGCGCAGGACCAATTTGGTGAAACTCACACTAGGGATAAAAGTCTGCAAACCCCAGGAAGCTGATCTACCCATAGCAGATAAATGAACTTTGTGCTAATGACACTCAGCAAGAAATAGATCAACTTTTTGCTAATCAGTTAACCCAGTGGTTCTCAACCTTTTTAATGCCACGACCCCAACTGGTCGTAAGTCGAGGACTAAACCGGTCGTAAGTCGAGGACTACCCAACCGGTCGTAAGTCGAGGACTTTCCCTGCCCGGGAGCGCCGCGCATGCGTGGTTCCGCCCCCTGCGCCGGCCGAGGCGTAGCTGGCAAGTGGCAGAGACGGAGCAGGCCAACCACCAGCTGGCCCAGCCTAAGGGAGGCAAGGCACCCGCCGGAAAAGGGGAAAAAAATGGCGGACAAAAAAATGGCGGACAAAAAAAATGACGGACAGCCTTGCTTGGCGTTGAGAACCACTGAGTTAATCAATGTATGTAGGACAGTGATGGCGAACCTTTTAGAGACTGAGTGCCCAAACTGCAACCCAAAACCCACTTATGCATTGTTGAGTGCCGGGTGGGTATGGCCCATTGGCTGGGTGTGGCCCATTGGCTGGGTGTGGCCCATTGGGTGGGCGTGGCTGCGGTGGCAACGGCAGACTGGGTGGGGGACTAAAAAGTTCAATCAATCAATTCCAACTTTGCGAGATCTTTTTTTTCCCTGCGAGAAGTTGAAATTGACTGATTGATTGAACCTTTTTTTTTTTTGCACACGGTGACAAAGGCCTAAAGCGAAAAGGTTTTATAAAACCCAGCTGAAGGCCTAGGACTGGGGCGAGGGCGCGCGTGCCCACAGAGAGGGCTCTGAGTGCCGCCTCTGGCACCCGTGCCTTAGGTTCGCCACCACTGACGTAGGAAACACATCACAGTAGTAATGGGGGACTTTTACTACCCTGAAACAATCTCTGCATCAAGTGGGAGATCAAACGGCTTTCGAACCAACCTAGCTGACAATTTTGTCATCCGAAAGGTAGTGGAGGTAACTAGAGAGTCAGATGAAATGGCAGAGGAGGTAGAAGTTGCAGGAATTTGGGGAGAGTGACCATGTCCTATTGGGATTCAATATAATGCAGACATAAGCAATAGAACAAAATCAAACTGGTGTCTTAAACTTTAAAAGAGCTCATTTCAACAAACTTAAGAGAGAACTTGGGAAGGATTCCATGGATGAAAACCTTAAAAGGGAAAACAACTCAAGAAGCTTGGGAAACTCTGAAAAATGTGATTATAAAAGACTGTCCAGCACAATGCCACTGAAAAAGAAAAAGAAGTAATCAAAGAAGAAACCAGCATGGTTGCATCTGATAAACTGAAAGACAAAAAGGACAAGTATAAAAAATGGAAAGAAGGATAGATAACTAAGGTAGAATACCAGCATATAGCCCAAATCTACAAAGATGAACTCAGGAAAGCTAATGCTCACAATGAACTAAGATTTGCAACTAATGTCAAAAATAAGGAGAAATACAAACTAAAATAGGCAAGAAAATGGTAAGAGCACACCATCCACCCTAGACGAGTTCAAATCACCAGGATCAGATGAATTACATCCCAGAGTTCTGAAGGAGTCGGCAGGTGTGATCTTGGAACTACTGAATCATATCTTTCAAAGATCCTGGAACACCGGGGAACTATCAGAGGACTGGAAAAGAGCTGATGTGGTTCCCATCTTCAAAAAAAAAGAAAAAAAAAGGGGGGGGGATGGATCCAGGAAACTACAGACCAATTAGTCTGGGAAGATCTTGGAAAAGATAATCAAACAACAGATCTGCAAACACCTAGAAGCAAGCAAAGTTATAACCAGAAGCCAACAAGGGGTTTGTCAAAAATAGGTCATGCAAACAAATCTTACTTCCTTCTTTTACAAAGTGACAAAATTAGTGGATCAGCAAAATGCTGCGGATGTAGTATACTTAGACTTCAGCAAGGCATTTGACAAAGTAGACCACAACCTACTTCTTAGTAAGTTAGAAAAATGTGGGAAAGACAGTAGCAGCACCAGATGGATTTGTAACTGTCTGACAAACCGTACTCAAAGAGTAGTCCTTAACGGAACTACATCTACATGGAGGGAAATAAGCAGTGAGGTACCCCAAGGTTCTGCCTTAGACCCAGTACTCCTCAATATCTTCATAAACAATTTAAATGAGGGAATAGATGGGAACTTATCAAATTTGCAGACAACACCAAGCTGGCAGGAATAGCCAACACCCCAGAAAACAGGCTCAAGATCCAGATGGATCTCGACAACTTGAGCACTGGGCCCTATCTAACACAATGAAATTCAATGGCGAGAAAAGGAAGGTTTTACACTTAGGTAAAAAAAAACCAAATGTACAGGTATAGAATAGGTGGAATTTGGCTCAATAGTAGTAACTGAGAGGGATCTAGGAGTCTTACTGGATAACTACTTAAATATAAGCCAGCAGTGTGCTACAGCAGACAAAAAAAGCCAATGCAATCCTAGGCTGCATTAATAGAGGGATAGAATCAAGATATCGTGAAGTGTTAGTACCATTTTATAATGCCTTGGCAAAACACACTTGGCATGCTGCATCTTGTTTTGGTCACCACAATATTAAAAAGATGTTGAGACTCTAGAAAGAATGCCGAGAAGAGCAACACAGATGATCAGGGGACTGGAGGCTAAAGCATATAAGGAACAATTGCTGGAATTGGGTATGTCGAGTTTAATGAAGAGAAGGACTAAGATGACATGATACCAGTGCTCCAATATTTGAGGGGCTGCCACAAAGAAGAGGGGATCAACCCATTTACCAAAGCACGAGAAGGAAGGACAAGAAGATGGAAATCAATCAAGGAGAGAAGCAACCTAGAACAAGGAGAAATTTCCTGACACTGAGAACAATTAACCAGTGGAAGGACTTGCTTTCAGAAGTTGTGGGTGCCCCACCCTTGGAGGTTTTCAAGAAGAGATTGGACTGTCATTTGCCCAGAATGGTATAGGGCAGGGGTAGGCAACCTCGGCTCTTTTATGACTCGTGGACTTCAACTCCCAGAATTCCTGAGCCAGCTATGCTGAGGGGAAAGGGAGAGGTTTCCAAGCTGAGCCATGCTGGCTCAGGAATTCTGGGAGTTGAAGTCCACGAGTCATAAAAGAGCTGAGGTTGCCTACCCCTGGTATAGGGTCTCCTGCCTGAACAAGTGGGGTGGATCAGAACAGCGGTCCCCAACCTTTCCAGCAAACCAGTGGGGGAGGGGGGAGGAGAGGAGATGGTTATTGTGTGAGTGACAGGTGCTCATGTGAGCGAACACACTTCATTTGTGCAAGCGGCGCTCACGCACAAAAGGGAGCTGCACGGGCGAGCACGCTTACCCGCTTGCGCGATCTCAGTCTGCTTCTGAACGGGCCACAGCCCAGGGGTTGGAGACCTCTGACTAGAAGACCTCCAAGTTCTTTCCAGCTCTATTATTCAGACACCAATAACTTGAGTCCTTTATATATGTTAAGAGGACTCCAGGGCAAGACTGAGCCAGGCTCAGACTGCTTGCTATAGTTTGGCAGCAGAAGCACAAAAAAAACCCACTCTAGCTAGTTCAGAAGGCTTTGGTGGCTGGTGAGAACCCCACAGGGGCTACAAAATGCTCCCTTGCAGTCCAAACAAATCCACCATGCAGCTTCTCTCTTCCGATTCTCAGCAACAGGGATAGATTGGGAGAAAGGCGCCTTGCTTCAATCTGCAAATTAATGCAGAGATCTCCAACCTTTCCCGGCTCGAGGACCAGACGGAAGGAGAGCAGCTTCAAAATTGGTGTGCATGCGCACGCGTGCGTGCGTGCATGGGGCCCTGGCGGGGCACTAGCAGCCTCGTTCGCGCATGCAGCATGAGCTGGTGCCATGCACATGCGCAAATGGCTGCCTACCCCCACGGCGGCTAGCGGCCTGTCCACACATGCGCAAACGGGTTGTGCAAACTGCCCGGGCTAGCGGCGCATGCGCAAACGGGCTATGGACACCCGCCCACGCTACATTCCCATTTGTTCCCATGTGCATGCGCAAACAGGGCCGCACACACTAGTGCGAGTGGGGGGGAATGTGCGCCCACGCATGTGTGCACCGGCCAGCTGTTTCCGTGGCCTGCTGGCCAAGACCCCACGGTCCAATCCCGGGCCGCGGACCATAAGTTGGGGACCCCTGCACCAATGGACATGCAGCCATTAATCCCCCCACCCCCAAATAAACATAATGAATTTGTAGACCTTGATAGCTACCCCCCCCCCCAAAAAAAGAAATGCAGTGACAGGCCATCTGCAACACGAATGGGGACGTAATCACCGAGATTCTCATCAGAGCGTTAAACGGGATCACACCGCTTCCCAATCTCTAAATCAGCTCCCACTTACTTGGTTCATGGCTACCGCTTTCAGTCGGGGCGTCTAAGGCATTATTGGAAATGGAAGGAGCCACCTTGGCTTGACTTGCCTCTTTGCCGAACAAACCTCCTTTTCCAGGGGAAAATGAGAATCCAGACCCGGCCGTCCCTGAACTCAGATCAGAGCTGTCACTTTTGTCAAAAGAGAACAAGGCGGTGGAGGCGGCCGCCGCTTTAAGTTCTATCTTCTTCTCCGGCTCTCTTTTCTTCCCGAGGGCATCCTCCGATTTGCTGCTGTTAAAGAAAAACCCGGAGCCCTGCGGAAGGGCCGAGCTCCCAAAGGCAGGACGAGGCTGGGCTTCGGCGGCTTTCACGCCGCCGCCGCTGCTTCCGGAGCTGCTGTGGCCAGCCAGGCCCTGTTGCTCTATCTCCGCCAAGTATTTCTCGTAGTCGTGGAAGATGGGGCTCAGGTCACAGAGAGGGTTGGCGTTGACGTGTTTGACTATCCAGTCCCGTACAGAACAATTGAGGGCAGCCAACTGTTTATGGTAGCTCTCTGAGTTGCAGGCTTTGCTCTGAGTGAGTCCCGAGGACAAGGGCTCTGGATTCTCGCCATTGGCTTCCAGGCGTGCAGAGGTCTTCTCAAAGGTAACACTATTGGCTGAGGCGCTGGAGACCACCGAACCTGTCAAATATAAAAAATATCCAAGGGCTATGATTACGAACGGCCATTGTGCAGAATCACCTTTTTAAAAAAAAAAAAGAAAAAAAGAGGAGAGGCCTCCAAAATCTAGCACAGGAGTCCTCAAACTTGGCCACTTTAAGACTTGTGGACTTCAACTCCCAGAATTCCCCAGCCAGCATGGCTGGCTGGGGAATTCTGGGAGTTGAAGTCCACAAGTCTTAAAGTGGCCACGTTTGAGGACCCCTGATCTAGCAGCTTGTCGAAAAGCTGCACTACCTAAACAAGCATGAGGCCAGCATTTTGACAGCAAGAACATTGAAAAAACAAAACAAAACAGAAAACCCAAATAATATAATCTTTAGACTCACATCCAGCATCTCAAAGACATCAGAACGATTAAAACTCTACTGAAAAATCTATTGCATTAAACTATATGTTGCTTTCTTTATAACAATCTTAGCTCTTCACGTGATACATCTTAACAAATACTGCAATGTTGCCTTTGAACCAAGATTGGGCAAGATGTTGGGGGACGGATTGTTTAATAATAATAATAATAATAATAATAATAATAATAATAATAATAATAATAATAATAATAATAATAATAAAAATTAAAAAAAAAACATCCACGTCTGCCTATCCCAGGTCCTTGTAAAGGACTCGATAGGTAGACAAAATGCCAAATCCAGTCTGAACATCTGGCTGACTGTGCGATGATCATAATAATAATAAAGTTGGAAGGGACCTTGGAGGTCATCTAGTCCAACCCCCTGCTCAGGCAGGAAACCCTACACCATTTCGGACAAATGGCTGTCCAGTCTCTTCTTAAAAACTTCCAATGTTGGAGCATTCACCGCTTCTGGAGGCAGGTTGTTCCACTGGTTAATTGTTCTAACTGTCAGGAAGTTTCTCCTTAGTTCTAGGTTGCTTCTCTCCTTGATTACTTTCCATCCATTGCTTCTTGTCCTGCCTTCAGGCACTTTGGAGAATAGCCTGACTCCCTCTTCTTTGTGGCAGCCCCTGAGATATTGGAACCCTGCTATCATGTCTCCCCTCGTTCTTCTCTTCATTAAACTAGACATACCCAATTCCAGCAACCGTTCCTTATATGTTTTAGCCTCCAGTCCCCTAATCATCTTTGTTGCTCTTCTCTGTACTCTTTCTAGAGTCTCAGCATCTTTTTTTACTTTGTGGTCACCAAAACTGAATACAGTGATTGCATTTTTTTTTTTAGTATTAACAGAAGTGCCCAAGAGCTGCCTCCGAGACAAGCTGATAGCTTCGTGACGAAGGATTTAAAAGAACTTGATTTCAGGGAATTTCTCCAGGAAAAAATACTTCAGGTCAGGGGTCTTCAAACTTGGCCCTTTTATGACTTGTGGACTTCAAAGTGTGCCTGGCTGAGGAATTCTGGAAGCTGAAGGCCACAAGTCATAAAAGGGCCAAGTTTGAAGACCCCGGCGGCTTCAGGTGAACTAAGTCTAAACGCATACTGTTCTTCACCATTCTGCTGGAAACCAGTAGAAAATTACCCTTTTGATTGTGGACAACTTATAGTTGAATGTAAAGAATATAATCAGAGAACAAGCAACAAAGAGGGCCCAGAGTCTCATGCAATTTAAACAGCAGCCTCATATCCAAGCCAACCAGGAATTTTGCTTTAGAGATCGACCAGGACAGATGGAAGAAACAAATCATCCACCTTATTGGGCCAGCCTTCTTCACTCCCATGTAGAAAGGATATTGTTTTCCCACAGCCAAGCAGGTCAATGTGGCAGGCTGGCTGGTCAAGGAAAAAATTCCACCTTGGTTGATCGATAAAATATTACCTGTTCCCTACCAAAGCAGGAAGCTTTAGCCCCCCCACCTCCCCATCGCAGCAACGCAGGTTGTAAACTTTTAACAATGTAGTTCAGGAAAATGAGCAATCTGTGCCTCTGTTTGTAAATCTGCTCTAATCTGAGCAGTTTTCCCCGCCCAACGTCTTTACTAAATTTATTATACTGAGAGTACCTTTCTGAATTCTACTGAAAAATAAAAGGCATGGGACCAGTGGAATCATTCGTCCACTGAGACCAAATTTCAAATTTAAGAATCAGAATTGTGGATATTATGGATAGAGGGGTGTTGTTGTTTTTTTGAAAGCACGCCGTGGTAGTAAACATCTCTTTAAAAATGACCTGAAATAAATATGAATAAATAGAGGACCTCTCTTGCAATTTGCAGATAATCAGAGGGTCTTGAAAGCAGAATCACCCTCTATCCAATCCCTGTGATCATCATTGAGCCCAGGCAAACCTACATGAAGCTTGTTTTCAATCCTCTTTTAAGATCTGGATCCAGACTCAACAAATACCATTAATTTAGACAGCTCTATTCTGTTTGTAAAGGGATCCAGCCAATTAGTAGTTCTTAGTAATGAAAGAGCAGAAATAGTTTTTTCTGTCTCAGAAGATCTGTTTTACTTAAAACTGCTGTCTGTTATTTCTGGAAAGGTGTGAAGAATATGATCAAGATCAGGGGTCTTCAAACTTGGCCCTTTTATGACTTGTGGACTTCAACGCCCAGAATTCCTCAGCCAGGCACGCGTGCCTGGCTGAGGAATTCTGGGAGTTGAAGTCCACAAGTCATAAAAGGGCCAAGTTTGAAGACCCCTGATCAAGATGTTACTTAGAAGATGTCCTTCTTTAAGGATACAAAACCTACAAGTCCTTCCAAGAAAGAATCTTGCGGAGACCAAGAGTGGGTTTTGCAGCGTGCCCTCCAACTTCCAAACAAGCCCCCAAAACTTGGGGAACTCAGCGTCCTTGCGCTTGTATCTCACCATCCCCACATTCACATTGGTCACCGGCACATATCTGTGACATTTGTAGTGTCAGGGCATCATACAATCGCCGTGTGTGGCCCTCCCAGCTGACTGGCAAGGCAAAGTCAGTGGAGGAAGCCGGATTCTCTTAAGGACCCCGTGATTCACTTAACAACTGTAGCAATTCACTTATCCACAGTGGTTAAAAAAAAAAAAGGTTGTAAAATCGGGTATGCCTCCCTTAACAACTGCCTTGCTCACAACAGAAATTGTCATCAGGAGCTACCTGTACTGGATTTATGTTAAAAAAAATACCCTTTGCCACTAGGCCAGGGCTAGGCAACCTTGGCTCTTTTATGACTCGTGGACTTCAACTCCCAGAATTCCTGAGCCAGCATGGCTCAGCTTGGAAACCTCTCCCTTTCCCCTCAGCGTGGCTGGCTCAGGAATTCTGGGAGTTGAAGTCCACGAGTCATAAAAGAGCCAAGGTTGCCTACCCCTGCACTAGGTTAAAATGCAGCTTTCCCCTCAGGGGACCCCCAGGCTAAATGCAATCCTTCCTTTTTAAACCATACAGCAGCGGTCGTTTTCCCCCAATAATTTTAATTTGAAGATATTACAATTATTGCCCCCTAGTAAAAATAATAATAATAAAAAAGAGTAAACTTACTAAACATAGATTCTGTTTCTGAAGCCGTCTTTAAGCTGGGGAGCGAAGAGCTGTGCGTGATGCTGCTGGAGCTGCCGCCACCATTGGATAAGACGCCAAAAGATTTTGTTCCGGGGCCATTTCCGAAACCAGAAAAAACACCAGTCCCGGAAGGTAAAACGAAACCTTTAAATCCCTTAAAAGCTCCACCACCTTCTGACTAAAAAAAAAGAACAGAAATAAGTTGTTCTGCGTCTCTCAGAGTACAAGCCCATCCTTGGCATATTCAGAAGGGATGGGATTTTCTTACTATTTTTTCGTGATGGCTGCATTTGGAGTAAACCCCGGATGTTCCTGATGGTCACCGCTCCTCTCTTGTTCAAAGACAAAAGCTTAGTGCCACCTCTAAAATGGGTTTCTTAGTTCATTTCTCCCAAACGTTGCGTCTTGGGCAGTTTCCAGTTGTTTCAGCCACCGCTTTTAGCAAAATGTCCTTCCATTTCTACAAAACCTCCACGGGAGAATGCCTTCCTTAACTGAACGTATCTTGGGCAGGAGCCCCCAATGGCAGCCATCCGAGCATGCCTCCAAAGTAACATTTTTAAAAGGCAGAATCATGCCACTTCATGGAAAATGCCAACAACAGCGTACACTGTGTAAGTCAATCCCCTGACCCAAAACTAAAGACTGTGAGCCATCTAAAGATGACTTTTTCTTGCTGTTACAAAGATAAGTCAATACTTAGTCAGAGCAGACAAAAAGTGTTTAATGCTAAACTCCCTGTTCTTATTTTAAAAGCAGGTTATTTTGACCTTACAGCTGAAAATGTTTTGAATTCAAAATGTTCTACACATACTTAATAGTAACACAGAGCTATTTTAGCCCTCTACAGACATTAAAAGAGGCCCCAAGAGCACATAATTTTAAAGATGCATTAGCAGGGCTCGCAAACAAGTGTACGCTTCAGCTTCAGCTTGAAGGAGAGCAACTTCACGAGACTTGGAAATCGCATGGATTTGCAGAATTAGCCTAGCAGCCTGGGGGAATCCCGGGAGTTGAAAACCACTCAGTTTAAAGTTACTGAGGTTGAAAAACATTTGAGTTTAGTCCCTGGATCCTGTTGGCTCTCCCAGCCTTTTCATATGTCATAAACAGAGTTTAGAAAAAAATATATGGGATTCACTATAGACCACCAGGAGTAAAACAACTGTTAAATAACAGTATTTTTTAATTCCATAAATATTGTTTTTCTATTTCAGATGATTCAGTTGCACATATAGCAATAGCAGTTAGATTTATATACCGCTTCACAATGCTTTACAACCCTCTCTAAGAAATTTACAGAGTCAGCATCTGGCCCCCAGCAATCTGGGTTCTCATTTTACCGACCTCGGAAAGATGGAAGGCTGAGTCAACCTTGAGCCGGTCAAGATCAAACTCCTGGCAGTGAGTTAGCCTGCAATATTGCTTTCTAACCACTGCGCCACAACAGCTCTTAATAACAGAAGTTGAATATCTGCTTGGAATAAACAGAATCCTGAAGGAAGTACAATGTTGCATTCTGCCAACTAAGTTTTTACTATTAAAATATATAAGTGTTTACCAAAGGTACGTAATTCACTCTTTTTCTGGATGAGAGAGTCAAGGACTGGGACGGGGACTCAATTTCCTTTATTATTATTTAGTGTAAGGGATCCATATAAACAGTGAAAAGCTACATTTTTAATAGATGGGCCCAACTACAAAAATAAACTTCTCTCATCTCCAGCTGTTAGAAAAAGAATGACTAGAAACATGAAAATCTTCCAGAATTCTGATCTTCTTCAAATGCTCCCCCAGAGAGATATTTCATGTATTATGAATCTTCTAGAATTACAAATGACATTTTGCATCAAAAATTTAAAAGAAATGCAATTATACATTAGTCTGAATATGTTAGTCTGACTATTTAGTAAGAGTTCTGTTTATATAGTAAGCTAGCACTTAGTGACAAACTACTTTGGGGCAATGCCAAGAATTAGACAAATTAGCCGAAATCTTATTTTAAAATGATAAATATATATATACCTCAGTCACTACATTTCTACGCTTTGCCTTCTTAATTGATCTGTTCTTCAAAACTTCCTCACTGGCCACTGAGAAAGTTCCCACCTGCAGAGAATGGTTAAATTCTTAAGACAAGCAAAATGAAAGAAGTCTGGAAAAAGAAATCCCAGCAAAATCCATTTTCTTAATACTCCGGCTCTCAAGATGTAATCATCCACTTATCAACACCATGAGGTTCAAAGTTGTATTACAAATTGCAAGCACTTGGCATATTCAAATTTTATAACATCATTGGGGATGATTTCTTATGAATCATTTGTGGGTATCATAGCTGCTCACTGACTTGTTCAAAATATTTAGAACATGTTTTCCATAAATATTTCCCAAAAGATGTCAACTGACAGATTCCCCTCGAGTCATTATTTTTAAGAAGCATATTTATTGTAATTTACCCAATGAACTTTAGAAATCATTAAATTCCTTTCAGAAAAAAAACATTATTCCTATTTATAGATAAGGATGTCCTATAAGAGATTCCACCACTCATGTTAGTTTTTATTATGGAATTACTTCCTTCTTTCCTATATATACAATATACATACATATACATATATATATATATATATATATATATATATATATATATACATACATACATATATATATATATAGGTGTGCGTGTGTGTGTTTTCTGAGGTTTTCGCGGGTGTTTGTATGTAGGTCTTTGGTTATTCAGGTTTTCTCCCGCGTAAAACTGGAAGTGTCTTGCCGACGAAGTCCCATTCGTCATCTTCAGGCTGGTGTTTTCAGCTTCGTGCTTCTAGGAGTAATGTGTGATCACAGCTGTTTCTTCCTTTTAACTGCCAGTGGGGTTTGAACTGATTGGGTGGGAGCTTGGCTGTGTTCTGATTGGGTGGAGGTGTGCTCTGATTGGATGGGGGGTTGGCTGTGCTTGGAGGTGTCTTGGCGACGTTTCGACGGGGTCCCATTCGTCATCTTCAGGCTCTCCCCCATCCAATCAGAGCACAGCCAACCACCCATCCAATCAGAGCACAGCCAAGCTCCTTAACCAATCAGAACACACCTCCACCCAATCAGAACACAGCCAAGCTCCCACCCAATCAGTTCAAACCCCACTGGCAGTTAAAAGAAACAGCTGCGATCACACATAACTCCTAGAAGCACGAAGCTGAAAACACCAGTCTGAAGATGACGAATGTGACTTCGTCGAAACGTTGCCAAGACACTTCCAATTTTACGCGGGAGAAAACCCGAATAACCAAAGACCTACATATACATATATATATATATATATCTCACCAGATAGGATATCTTACAACTAACAACTGGGACCAGAATTTCTGTTGTAAGTCCTTGTGGTTGTAGGTCAAGCTGGACCCAAATTTATGACAATTTGTACAATGGGCAGATTTTGCCAGAAATTGGCAAAAAGGATTGCAAATTGCAATTATGTGATTGTAAGATGCTGCAGGTGGTTGTAAATGTGAGCCAGTTGTCACGCATCTCAATTGCAATCATGTGACTGCAAGGGTGGATGTGACAGTCGTTAAGTGTGAGTACAGGTCATAAGATAAGATAAGCTTTATTGTCATTTTTTTACTGTGGGCACAAATCAAAAATGAAATTTAGTTGCCCGCTCTCATAAGTCCCTTCTTCTGAGATTGTAGTCCCAGGTTGTAATTTTGAACCATCATTAAACAAAGAAACATAATTTGAGGACTACCTGTACATTCAAGGGCTCTAAATGGGATGCCATGATCTCTCCTCTATTTTTTTTTCCTATAGCAACTGGGAGATGGATTGGGCTGAGAAGAGAGGATGGGCAGTTCCGTCTCCCAAGGGGATCCTTGGCAGAAAGGGAACCTGAACGGGGCTCTTGACAGTGCCAACCCAACATCTTCATGCTGTACCACATTGGTAGATTTTGCTTATAAACACAAGGGTAACTTCGACATACAGTCGAAGTATACAGACCAGTGTTTCTCAAGCATGGCAACTTAAAAGATTTATGGACTCTCCAAGCCAGCATACTGGCTGGGGCATTCTGGGAGTTGAAGTCCACATATCTTGAAGTTGCCAAGGCTGAGAAACCCTGATATAGAACATAACAGACGGAGAGGAAAGGAATCAACAAATTTTCCCTCAGAGGAGAATGGGATTCTGAACTATGGTGTGAACTACAGTATGGGGATTGTAGCCTACTTATGATTTACTCATTATTTCATCTTCAGCAAACTGATGATAAAACATTGAAGACATGGAAAGTATAGGTAAAGGATAATTAAACCCAAATTTTCTAGAAAGCTCACACCAACTGGTTGGAATACTTATCAATTTATAACGAAGGCATTCACAAAATTCAGATTTGTTTGGAGAATTCGGAAGTCAGAATCATGTTGCTCTAATGCTAAAGTATAATTTTAATAGCAGATTTCTCCAGTAGCTATTATGTTGCATGAAACTGCAAGCTCTTTAACGTGAAGTTGAAACACTATTATCCAATGACAGGTATAAATAAAAGCAACCCTAATTATATTGTTTTTTCAAACAGTTAGAACAATTAACCAGTGGAACAACCTGCCTCTAGAAGCGGTGAATGCACCAACACTGGAAGTTTTTAAGAAGAAACTGACAGCCATTTGTCCGAAATGGTATAGGGTTTCCTGCCTGAGCAGGGGGTTGGACTAGATGACCTCCAAGGTCCCTTCCAACTTTATCATCATTATTATTATTATTGGTAATATTCTCAATAGAAATATCGGTAGTTTTATAGATTTAGATCTATATGGCTGGCCCTCTTGACTAAACACTGTGAAAACTATCACTACCGAGAGCTCAGCGTTAATCCCAGGGAAGAAACTCAGCCCTGTTACAACCCACTTGCAAGATACGTTTGGCAGCCAAAACAATTAGTTGATGTGATGCACATGGTCTCCAGATTGGCTCTTCCTAGGCCAGGGGTCTTCAAACTTGGCCCTTTTATGACTTGTCAGAATTCCTCAGCCAGCCTAGTATGTGAGAAGGTTGAAACCTTACAAGATATTGGGGTGAAATTATCAGGAGATTTTGAAGGCAATGCCTGTCAGAACCCATTTCTATTTCATTTCTATCTATCTCCTCTGATCTAAAAACAAATCTCACCTTTCCCTGGGTTCTGCCATACTCCCAAGGGGGAGGGGGATATGCCTGCGGGGTTATTGCTTTCGCTTCCTCTATTCGCTAATTCGCTACAATGTAACCTTTTGCTTTGTTTATTGCCTGTGTCCACTGCCCGCTACAATGTAACAATTTTCTTCCTGCACTGTATCTCTCTCTGAACTTTCTTCTCCCTAACCTGTCAGCTAGGAAAAGGGGGGGGGGGGAGAAATACAACCTCTGGAGTCTGGCTTATTTCTCCAGTCTCAAAAGGAGGTGCAAAGAGCTGCTTGAACATCATGCTACGACCGGAGCCGGACCAATGTTATCTCCCCTTTCCCACGATGAACTTAACATCTGGGGATTGGCTGGTCTGAACCGTCTGGATGAACTGTGGGGTGGGGTTTGCTTGGGGACACTTTAAAGTATCGATCTGTAAAGGAATCCCTCAGATTCTGTCTATTATGCCTGCTATCAACTACTCTTAATAAAAGTTCCTGTTGCAAGAAATTGTTTCCAAGAGTTCTGCTTTCTTAAGATGTGGGGTTGAAGTGGGTCCTTACAGTGCCATTGCACAAAGAGGCTACACAACCTTGTCATACCAGTGGCTCAGCACAAATGTGTGTGATTTCCCTCCCTTGCTCACAGCAGAAGCACTTAAAAGTGAGAGTTACTTTTAGGCTCAACTCCCTCACTGTGAGGCCCCATCAGAGGCAGACAATATAAAGCTTAAGGAAGCTGTTTCTGTGTCATCAGGAAGACACAGAGAAATCCAAATGTCAAACGTTACAATAAGTCCAGTTACAATTGGCATGCATTGTCAATAAAGTCTTCATGAATTAATATCTGTTTTTATCACACAAGACAAGTCATTTTTAACACTATAATAACCAATACATTGGTGATCCCAGACTTTTCTTATAGAGCCAAATTATATGAAACAGATTTTTCTCTGTGACTGTTTTGGTCTTGACTCTTGGTACATTGAAGAAAGGCTAGACAGACTGGCCCATTACCTTCCCAGTTTTGCAAAGTACTTTTTCATAGATATCAAAAAATACTGTGACATATACATTTGTGTACTTCACGTACTGTTGCTCTAAGTTAATGAAAGCAAGGCTTGTTACCTCCTCCGTTTCTTCTTCTTGATCCCAATTTCTGTCAGTCAGCTCCTTCTCTGCCACTCTTTTAGCCATTTTATAGCACTACTGCATCACAGCAAGTGACAATTAGTTGTGTTTCAGATCTAGTTTAAAAAAAAAAGGATGACAAAATCAGGATCTTTATAGCCCGATAACCAAAGATGTATTAATTAGATTGTGCAACAAACATCTGATAACCAAAGATATAGTAATAACGTTGCATAATATTTCAGGTACCCTATTTCCTAAGACACAATCTCAAGGAACTGTCACCCTTCTGACCAGCCAGAGCTGCTGCCATACAGATGAAATTGGAGGAGAGACAAAGTAAGCTACTTTGAGATCCCCCAGAAAAAACGAGATAGACATGCCAGTAACATCAATAACATGAGGAGGTGTCTAGTATGATCTGCCAATGACATTAAAGTCTACACCTTCATACAGAATTGGGGTGTTGGAAAAGAAGCAAATTTAGTCCAGATGTCTCATTGTTATGTTTCCCAGAGACACTGGTTCTAAAAAAACTATGAAGGATAGAAATTTGGGAAATTTTCAGTCCACCTTGGGGCTTTAAGAACAGGAAAACTGAGCTACTCCTTGACAGCCAAATTGCACATTGCTGACAGTTGAAATTGCAACTAACCATCATCCTTGCCACTATATGTACATATCTGATATCCCTCTGGCTATAATATTCCTCAACAAATACTATAAAAACATCGCCAAAGTGGTCTTCACATTGCAAATCATGGGTTCCTAGTAAAGGAGGCATGCAAGCCCCATATTTTAAAGGGCTTACATTTAAAAACAAAATAAAAAAGGCAGCACAGTGCAAAGCACCAACATCTAGTATGGAATTTCTGGGTATGCTCTAGAATAGGGGTAGGCAACCTTGGCTCTTTTATGACTATTTCCAGGTATGCTCTAGCACAGGGGTAGGCAACCTTGGCTCTTTTATGACTCGTGGACTTCAACTCCCAGAATTCCTGAGTCAGCAGTCATAAAAAAGCCAAGATTGCCTACCCCTGCTCTAGAATATAATCAAAGATTCTTAGAAAACTGAAAATGATGCATGGTCATACCTCAGTGCTTTGTTTTAGAAAGGTGCGCACCTATCTTCCCCCAAAGCAAAAGTAAACTATAGAGAAAATAGTGGGAGTACAGTTTCATTTGCCATTCTTCCGCGAAATGGTTTTGTGATAGGTCATCTTCAAGGCGGCCATTTTGTAAGAGTACCCACAGCATCTTTAAAACTCCAAATTTATTGATCCAACGGTCATCTAGTTTTACATGTTTATTCCTGACATTAGGAACTCAGGATAGGAGTTCCTGTTTGGCCAACAGATGCTTCTTTAAAGCATCTAGTGCCACCCCACCGTGGTTGCACAGAAGCCTTCTCCTTGTAAAACTGGGCCTCCACAAATACGTTCTTCCTGGTCTCCCTCCTCTGAGAAGCCCCCACCAGCAAAAGCAGTGCCTGGATCAGCCAACAGCTCTGATGGGAACCTGATGAAGTCATAATGCTGTGGGTGAAAGGTAAGGATACCAGGCTATTTTCAAACAAGAGCCCCAGTCAAACTGGCTGCCAGAAAGGGAAAAGCCAGTTTCCCAACCAACATGTCCCTGAAAGATGAAGATCATAAGACATGGCTGATCCCTTGCTCATGCGACATAGTCCAGACTCAAAGATCTAGATTAGATGCAACAAAACGACTTCTCTGTGTCTGCAACAAACTCAATGCTGGTCCAAAATAGAGAAAGTAATAAAGAGGATCCTCAACAGGCACGACAAGAGACTATTACACACGCAGCATTAGGAACAAGCCATGGTCCCCTAGTTTTTCCTCCTGACTCGCACAGGACGAGGGAGCTTGTAGTCAAAAGCCAGCAGAATCTGGAGCTAGTCTTAGTATCAATATATTCTCTATACCAGAGGTAGGCAACCTCGGCTCTTTTATGACTCATGGACTTCAACTCCCAGAATTCCTGAGTCAGCATAGCTGACTCAGGAATTCTGGGAGTTGAAGTCCATGAGTCATAAAAGAGCCGAGGTTGCCTACCCCTGCTCTATACTCTCTAGAATGGGAGAAACAAATTCAAATGACAGAATTCATACAGAAAATATATTTAACATTTCTTCAGCACCATCTTTCCAAGCCAGCAATTTTGAGATGCGGCTTATAGTTATCTCTCTCTGCTCTACACCAGGGGGGGGTCTTCAAACTTGGCCCTTTTATGACTTGTGGACTTCAACTCCCAGAATTCCTCAGCCAGGCACGCTGGCTGAGGAATTCTGGGAGTTGAAGTCCACAAGTCATAAAAAGGGCCAAGTTTGAAGACCCCTGTTCTGCACCGATGTTTCTCAACTGCACTGCCTTTAAGGTGGGTGGACTTCATTTCCCAGAATCCCCCAGCCAGGACATTGGGAGTTGGAAGTCCCACCATCTTAAAGGGGATGCGGTTGCGAAACACTGCTCTATACTTACAGCAAAAGCCATCAATGGACGCCATCATCAAAACTGCGCGCGTTTTGACACGGCTGCCACCGACAGCCCCCACCGGGGCCTTAGCGGGCGCACCAAGCAAGCCCTCCACCATGGACCCGAGGACGAATTCCCGCGCTTTCCGGGGAAGCTCAGGTCCCGCCCCCGGCGCTTCCGGCTTGGGCTTGCCTAGAGAGGGACGGTCTAGGCCTCCCCGCCTGCTTGCTCCCTCCCGCTAGAACCGGAAGCTCCCGTCCAAGGGAGAAGCCGGGGGTGCCCCCCCCCGTCTTCGGTGCTGCTGCTTAAGGGCCGGCTTTCCCAAGGTGGCGCGGCGGCGAGGCAGAGCGGGGAGACGGCCCCCAAGGCACCGCCTGCCATCGCCCCCCCCCCCCGCCGCTCCTGCCCGTGCCTTCCCGCTCGAGAGACCCACCGCCGTCGGGCTCGTGGCGGCCGCTTCCTCCTGGCCGTGGCGCTGCCCGGGAGGAGCGGCAGCGGCTTCCGCTTCCGGCAACCGCCGCGCCCCGCCCACAGGGAGAGGCGGGAGGGGGGGGGTCGACGCGTCGCGGGGCGTGGCCTTCGTCGCCGGGGAAACCGGGCGGAGGACTTGGAGGCGACGGGCTGCGTGGCGCTGCGTCCTCCTCCGCGTAAGGATCTCGGATGCCTTCGGTCGGTCGCTCGTCGGTGCGGGACTCGTGCCGGTCTCGGGACGGGAGACCACCTGGAAATGCTAGGGCTCGAAGGTGTGGGTGGATCACACGGCTACCGGGGAGACGACATGGATCATCGAGGGATCCAGGACCGAAGGAGTCGTCCCCTTTCTGCTCGGCAGGGGGCAGACTTCGGTAACATTTCAGATGGGGCACCACCGGGAAACCCTTTGCCTGGGCTTGGATGTGGAAGACGGTGGCAAAGCCCTCTGCAAGGTAGACCCCCCAAAGTGAGCTGGACATTGGGGAGGATTATTCAGAGAGTCAAAAAGCTGTAGTAAATTGGAAAAGGGGTGTGTGTGTGTGTGTGTTTTGTGTTTGTTTCGGCATCCCAATTAAAGCTTTCCTGAGCGATGATGAGGGGCACATGACATTAATGTAGTAAATTGAACAATTATTAGAATAATGATTTGTCTGCATAACTGCAATAATGAATTCTGGAATTCATTATTGCAGTTATGGAACTCTGGAATTCGTAAGAGTTCTTTCGTTTTCCACAAGAACATGGATTTTGTAACTTGCTAATTAACACAGTTATTTTGTATTTTAATTTGATTTATTTTCTCTCCCTTAAAATGATGTTCAGGTTTATTAGCTTTTAACATTCCTAAACTGATAAAACGGGCTGGAGGCTAGGTCCAGATAAGAAAAAAAAAATGTTAGTACAAAGTGGGGTCTGGTTTATCTCTTTTGTGAACTCCAAACCACCTTTTTTCCTTACAATTTACACCCCTTCTGACGTCAGGCTTCATTGTAATGAACATGTGTGATATTATGGGATGCAAATAGTGTAACATGTTTGGACTACATGTAACTGACTTCCTATGCAAAGGGGAGGTTACTTTTTATCCTGTCCAGTCAACTTTCCTCTTCCGTTTTCTTTGTTGTGTTAACTATAAAAAGGAATGTAAAAAATGGGGATCAAGGCTCTCTCGTTTTTCATAGAGAGATCCAGTGGTGGGATTCAGCCGGTTCGCATCACTTCAGCAGAAAGAACTGGTAGCTAATTTTTTGTTGCCCAGGCCCAGAATGGACTTATGGAAGCAACATCCACACAGAGAACCGGTTGTTCACATATTTGAATCCCACCACTGGAGAGGTCCCTCTTTACCAGGGTACCCTAAATGATCTTCTGACTCGGTTGCTCATTGGGAAGGTAAACCGAGGCAGAATCTAGGGCAGGGGTGTCAAACTTGCAATGTCATGTAACGTGTTGCGACGTATCGTGACTTTTTTCCCATTGCTGGCAATGGGGTGGGCGTGGTTTCACCATGATGCATCCGGCCTGCGGGCGGGCAGTTTGACACCCCTGATCTAGGGTAAGGTTTAGTTATCAATGGCTATCCAAGCTTGGTTTGAAAACACCCAGGAAGGTATTTTGAATTATTTGTGATCTGTTTATCTGAGCTTTAGGATCTCAGCTTTGGCCCAGAATTGGGCTTCTTCACCTTGGAATGAATCAGCAGCTTTATTTTCCCTAAAATCACTCTTTGTTCATGTGGATTACCAAGTGCCTCTAAACTCCAAAGATGTTTGCTACCTTTGATAAGTCGATCTAAATTACTACATGGATTAATAAAATAGCCCATGCATTCCTATATTGCTGTTTTGGGGGTACAGTAATATTCTCACAACTGCCTTTGAGCATCATTGGTTTCCTTTGTAATGCAGTCTATTTCTATGTCACGTCCATTAAATAGTTTTTCAGCAAAGGGATCTATAAGTTTCACTAAACTCTCAAAATGGTCCTGGACACAAACAGGTAAAGAGTGTGTGTTTTGCATTGATTGCTGTATTTATTTATAGTGCTGTTAATTATTGAAGAGGATATATTGAATTGATGCAGATTGTTTTAATTTTATATGAACTTTGCTAATACCTATGGTTGCAAATAAATGTTTCAAGTCAAATTTATTTATATTTGATTTATTGCATGTCTTCGCCAGTGTCACATACATGACTCTCTTGGATAACTTCAATTTACATTTAAAAGTGAGTGGTGAGACCAGGATATCAACTTTTGGGGAGCATCAGTTGCTTAATAGGTGAACCTTGTCCTGTAAAAGTTCCCAGATCCCCACCAGAAGTGGAGTAGGGCAATTTTGGTTTGCTTGAGAATCTCCAAAACTCTGACCTTTGACCTCCAAGAGTCCAACCTAAACTCTTACACTACCAAAAACGGTCCTTGGGCATGTTGTGCTAAGTGCAGATCTCAACCCTCAACTCTGCAAGTTTCTTTCCCCTCTATCACTACCCACATTTTTTTGGGAAACACCCCAAAGACTGCAAAAAGCACAACTTACTGAGTTCTGCAGAAGATCCGTCATCTTCGGTGTCGTAAATTGCTCCAGTAAAGAGGTAATGCATTATATGCCATGCCTACAAAGTTGGCCTAGGAATCACAGCATGGAGGAAAATGCCTTTTCTCTGTATTAACAGGTATGGAAGCGGAGAAAGATATGGACTAGGTCAGTGATGGTGAACCTTTTAGAGACTGAGTGCCCAAAAACTGGCCCCGCCCCCGCTCCATCCCCTGCCCCGCCTCCACCCTGTCTGCCCGCAGGGCCACTCACCGCCTCCAGGGCCCACCGCAGATCGCCCAGGCAGCCCAGCAGCGCCATGGCGGCCACGTCCTCTGCCCGTGCTCCGCAGCATCAACTGTGGGCAGAGTCTTCTCTACGCTGCCTGGCTGCCGTGTCCTTGGCTGCACTGCTCCACGTGGGTCACACTCGGGGGCAACTCTCCTCCAGGGGGGCTGCTGGTGAGGGGGCGCAGGGGGAGACAAGGCTGGGGCAACGGCACGTGTGCCCACAGAGAGGGCTCCGAGTGCCGCCTCTGGCACGCGTGCCATAGGTCCGCCACCACTGGACTAGGTGGTTGCTTGGCTTCAGATATTTTATTTCTATGGCTGGAAAAAGTCTGAAAAGCCGTATCTTTGCATTTTCTACCTTTTCCCGGGTTTGCATGACCTCTTCCCTCAGCTGCTCCTGAAGTGCGTTTGGCAGAATTTGCAGTGTTTGCATTTTGCAGAAGCTGAATCCCATCATGGCCTCCTGGGTGAAGAAAGGAGAAAAGACAGCCTGGGAATTGACAGCCTGTAAAATCCCTCTGTCTCAGGGTTGGGGGAAAGGTTAGAGGTCTGCTGAGTCTCCAGCCAGCATTCTTGATTTCTGCCCAGTCCATTCTCACTTTCATCCTGCCATTACAGGGGTGGCTTGGTGGGTTTTCTTCCTTCTTGACTGTTTTTATTATTTGCTCTGTGCAAATTCCATTAATAGCTAGTGTGGGGAGAGGGGCATCTCTTAGGGTCAAATGGCCTATTTCAAATATTTATGATCTGCACAAAAATACGGAATTCAGAATTTTGCTGCATAGGATGGGCTCATGTGTCATTCTATTTCATATTGCTGTTTTGATTCTAATGTAGCATATTTTGTGAGTTTAGTTAATTGGGTTTAATTAACTGGTTAAAGGCAGCTTAGCAGGGTCATGATAGCTAGCTAGCTAGCTAGCTAGCTAGAGATAGATAGATAGATAGATAGATAGATAGATAGATAGATAGATAGATAGATAGATAGATAGATAGATAGATAGATACCGGTAGATAGATACCGGTAGATAGATACCGGTAGATAGATAACCTTGTCATTTTTTATTGTGGGCACTATGGCACACATTAAAAATGAAATTTAGTTGCTTGTTCTCAAAAGTGTACACATACTGTACATAACACACATTTAAACATATTATATATGAATCCACTTGGTATTTAAAATGCAGTCTAATAGCTTAGGAAAAGATTAAAGTTAATTTTGTGTGCAGTTCAGAAAACATACACAAAAAACTCTCCCTCGCACTTTTTCAGAGTCTATTCAGATTAATTATCCATATTAAATGCCTGAAAATCTTGCTGTCCTTGAAGCAGATAAAATTACTCTTAATTTCATGATCTTATCCAACTGCTTGAGGAAGAAAATGATGGCTCTTTGTTATGAACAGTGAGGAGTGTCCCGACAGATCTTATCCATGAATTCTTCAGTAGAAGACATCTACGATCAATGTCATCTGAACTTCCAGTTGTGATATTTTTGGCCTAACAAAGTCTTCTTCCTTCTGATCAGCTCTTAAGAAAGTAGAAAGGAAGATGCTGTGTGGATCCAGCCATAACCCACAAACACAGAACTTAATAAACCTAGTGCCAATCCTGAAACCAAGATAGTTAAATTTCACGCTTTTAATGAGCAATTCATAAAAGAATGAAGCCACATGTCTAGCTAAAAAATAATAATCATGGAATGCATTGGAAAAAGAATCAGAAAAAGGGGGAAATAAATTAGCATACTCAGATAAAGAAAAATAAAAGGTAAATTAGGTACTTATCCCATTTCCCCAAAAGTAAGGCCTACCCCGAAAATAAGACCTAGCTTGATTTTTGGGGGTGGGCCTAATTATAAGCCCTACCCCAAAAATAAGTGGTAGTTTTGGAGCGAGGCACATACCTAAAAGTCAAGTTAGTTGGGGTGGAGCTGCCCCACACACCCCACACCCCCTTACCTGGCCTCTCCTCGCCGGCCCACTTCTGCGGCCCAAGGAAATGTCTGCAGGTGAGAATGGAGCTCTGGCTTGCATTTCGTCCTCAGAGGCCTTTTTGCAAGGCCTCTGCTGCCGAGAACCGAGCTACGGATCTGTAGCTCGATTCTCGGCTGCAGAGGCCTTGCAGAAAGGCCTCTGAAGGCAAAATGCAGGCCGGAGCTCCATTCTCTGCTGCAG